GTCCCATTCTAGAACTCTCCTTCCCATCCCTGGGGTGGCTGCTCCTCGGCCCTCCAGCTGGCTCTGTGGTCCTAGGCTCCTCTGTTACTCCTCCCCCAGTGCTTCCTCAGACTGCAGCTGCTCCCTCCTCAGCCACCTAGAGACCTGTATAGGACATGCCACTTCCCAGACGCTTTAGCTACCCCCTCTCCCTTCCCCGACAGACCCCCTCCCAGTTCCCTGTTCCCTTGGCAGGCACCATTTCATTATGTTAGTTAATTACTGTAGTTTTGTTGCTTTCCCCCCCCCCATCACCCTCTCCAGCCCCCAGTTCCTGCCATGATTCCCCCGATTCCCCCGTCAGTCTTTTGTGTGTCTGTCGCCTCCGCACATCCCTCCCGAGCCCAGGACCTGCCTGGCTTATGCAACAGCCTTGGATGGAACCCCCACCATCCCCCCCACCCCCCCCTCAGGCACTGGCTCAAACTTCCTCAAACCCCATCTGCGTCTTGCCTCACTTCTCCAAAACCACCATTCATCCCTTTCCTCCCGTCTGGATTTCTCCCGGTGACAGGTCACATGATGCAGTAGTGCCGGGACTCTGGGTTCTGTTCCCACCCTGCCTCCTCTTTGCTGCGTGTTCCGGTCAGGTCACCATCCCTCTCTGAACACCAGGCGCCTCATTGTCTGGACCTGCTCGGGGGAGCATATCCCTGCAGCGACACTGTGAGGGTTCAGAGGTGAAGTCGTAGCCCCTCTCTGTCCTCTTCGACTGGCTGGGCTTGCAGCCTGGCTTGCAGGAGCCGATGCGTGAAACCTTTGCTGGGACTCCTTGGGGCCCCTGGACAGGAGGAGTCCCTTGGCTGTCAGCCTCAGGGCTTACCGGAATGCCTGTGCGTGCAGGACCGTAAGTCTGAACGGGGCTCCTGTGCCGTGGCACTGCCCCATAGACCCGATCAGTGACAGCCACCCTGTTGGCCCCGGGCAGAGGGTGAGTGCTCCCAGTGTGCCCTCCCAGCCTCTCCCCACTCCACCCCATTTCAGAGCTTCCCTAACTAGTTCCTTCTGTCTTCTCTAATGAACCCATCATGCCCATTAACACAGGGATCTTTAGTTCAAAGAGGTGACCTGGGTGCCGGCCACCAGACCAGTGGAGAGAGATTGAAGGGCAGAGAGACTCATGGCAGGTGGGTGGGCTGGAGATGGAAAGAGTATGCCGGATCCTCGTCAGGCCCTTCTGGCCCAGTGGGGATTACTGGGACCATTGGATCCAGGGGTCCTCATTCTCAGCTTGCCTTTTTTTTGTGGATGGGGACAAAAGCCCTGCTGGCCCTTCTAGGGCAGGACTGGGGGGTGAGCATTGTGGTTGCTGCTCCCCGCCCCCCATGTGTGTTTCCTGGGGAAGTGACCCAGTGGGGCCTTTCCTGTCTAAACTGTCATGGGCTCTAGACAGCAGAGCCTGCTTCAGGATGGGGGATGTTGGGTGCTCCCACTTTCCTCTGACCTTGACTCTTACTGTCTCCTGCCTCTAATCTCTTCCCAGTGGCCGTGGGTCCTGTAACGGGCCCTCCCTGGAGCATATGCTGGACTCTGGACTCTGTTTCTGCAGGGAATGGGGGCTGAAAAGGCTCGGGCTGAGGGCCGTGGACCTGGACTGAGGGGGGGGGAGGGGGTGCGGGGCAGAAGAACTGAAGTAGTAGCCCATGCTCATCCAAGGAGGGAGTTCCCCAGCCCCGCGGGCATTCACATCGAGGTTTTCCAGCCCCTGATCTGGGATGCTGAGTATGTGAAAATAGAGGGTTCTGGCTTGGGCTGGACCTACGGGGCCGGGGGTCCCTCCTTTCTCTGAAATTTCTGAGTTGCCTCACAGCTCTGAAGCGTGAGGGGAGGGCCTACAGATTCAAGCTTCCCTCCCAGTACAGGGAGACCCCATCTTTCCTGAACCTCTGGCCCAGGCGTTGGGCAGTTGGTAATGTCCGTGCAGTCCTTTCTTCCCACGCTTTGCTGCCATCAGGATTTTCAAGTTGGGATTTTACACTGGGGAGGGGATGTGGGGAGGCCATCATTTCCTCTGGCTGCAAAATTGGGCTCATCCTTCCCAGCAGTGGGCTGAAGTGAGAGCCTGTTGGGAAAATGATGGAGGACCGTCTGGCCGTAACCCCAGCCATGACCTTGGGACCAACAGGAGAGTTAGTGACCACTCTGGTGGTCTTCATGGGAGGGGCTGGAGGTCTTTTTCTCCTCAGCGGGGGCGCGGGTGATGTCTGGGGTGGTCCTTATAGAGGAAAAGACACCAGGGCTGGGTGTCTAAAACCTGGGATCCTGCCCTATGTCCCGTGCCATCCCTGCTGGTCGCCCCCCTCCTTGGCCCACAGTTCTTGTTCGTCTTGTTGAAGCAGGCAGTCCCTGAGTTGGGGTCTGCTGCCCCTGGCTAGCCCAAGTGACGAGGGCCATCCTCTCTCACCCGAGGAAATGGCCCTGGGCCCCAGGCCTCCAGATTCTCAGCCAGAAGACCTCCCTGGGCCTATGGTTTGGGCTGCAGGACCCAGAGCCTGGGCAGGCACAGCAGTGTGGCTGTAGACGGCCCCGTCTTTCCTGGGTGCTGGATCCCGTGACTTCTTCACCTGGTTCTTAGTCCACCTCCTCCAGGCTTTTACTCCCGTCCCACAGGTGGTTTCAGAGAATTGCAGTGACATTCCCAGGGTCTGGTGTGGACCCCAGCTCAGAGCCTGGTGTGGACCCTGGCCCGGCCCGACCCTGGCCCGGCCCGACTCTGGCCTCTGCTCTCAGCCTCAGCTACCCCCAGCCCCGGCCTGCCCTCCTGGGGGGCAGTTTCTGGGCTGGAGCAGAATCTGAGAAGTCAGTCGGGCCAGAATTGGGTCAGATTTCCCTGCTGCCGCCAAGGAGGAGTCTCCAGACCCTGCCTGAGCCTCGCAGCCCTGGGTCCTGAAGCAGATGCCCTGACTGTGCCCTCACACCACCCCCTACTGGCCAGGGAGGCACTTTGGGCCTGGACTGTAGAAGTCCCTGCTGTCTGGCCAGCAGCGCCTCTGAGCAGCCCTGTGAGCCTGGGCCGGTTCTGCTCTTCTCTGAGACCCCATCCCTTGTCTGTAGGACGGGGACTGTCCCATGAATGCTGCTGAGAGCTATAAATGAGAAGACAGGCACATAGTAGCCCAGGGGGCTTCTGGCCCAGGGTGAGGCCCCCAGGTGCAGACCCCAGCCCAGGGCTGCCATACCACTGCCACAGCCCCTGCTCACGCCTTGGGGACCCCTTGCCAAGAGGAGAGGACCACTCCCCCCACACACAAAGGTATTAGGAAGGATCCCTGTCCGGCATAGTCACTGTTGATGGAGTGATAGATGTGTTTTCCCACTTTATCTGTCAGAGCCCCGGGTCCCTGCCAGGCAGGACCCAGCCAAGCAACCATGAGGCCACACACTGTGCCGGTCCCAAAGCAGAAGGCAGGCCGGGCTGGGCGCAGGCATGGGGCCACGTGAAAAAGGGTTGGGAATAGGCTCGTTGCTAGGGGTCCTCTGGGTCCCCAGCAACTTTGTGCTACCTGGAAGGAACCGGAGCTCAGGGGCTGCTTGGTGACTGTCTCAGAGTCCGGATGACAGGGAGGAGGGACCGATCCCCAGTCTTGCCTTTCACGCTTGTGCCTGAGTTAGCCTGAGTCCCATGACCCCTTGGCCCTGGCTTTCCTCCCTCCTGTGTGGGCCCCGGGAGCCCCCTCCCCTCCGCTTCCCCACCCCCTCATCACGGCCCCAAAGCTGCTGGCTCAGGGGCCCGCCAGCTTCTGCTGAGTGAGCGAGTCCGGAGGTGCTGTCTTGGCACAAACCGCTGCTGGGCCCCGAGCCCCCTCCCTTCCTGCCTCCCTCCCTCTGCAGGGTCTCTTGCAGGGTGGAGGGTGTGGATGGATGGGGGGGCACGGAGGCTGCTGGCCACAGCACTACCTCTAGGGTCTTTGACTTCAGGGAGAGAAGGGTCCTGAGGCCCAGAGACGGGTGTTTGCCTGAGGTCGTCACAGGGCAGAGCAGCGGAGAGCCGGGACTGACCCCCACAAGGCTCGGGGAGCAGGAAGACAGTCTGCCTTGCCTGGGCTGTGTGGCAGAATCTTCCTTCCTCAGCTCTGTGGGTCCTGGCTGGGTCCTTCCTCTCCTGCCCACCCCGAGTGGGATATAATTTGCATAAAATTTGCATTAACAGCAGCCAAGAAGGCTGTTCCCATTTAAGTGCCTCCCGTGTGCAGAGGGTTTTTTTCTTTAAATTTTATTTTTTATTAACATATAATGTATTATTAGCCCCAGGGGTACAGGTCTGTGAATCGTCAGGCTTACGCTTCACAGCACTCACCGTAGCACATACCCTCCCAGTGTCCACAACCCCATCACCCGTGTGCAGAGGTTTTTGTTTTAAGATTTTATTTATTTATTTGAGAAAGAGTCCCCTGCTAAGAGCACAAGTGAGGGGAGGGGCCAAAGGAGAGGGAGAAGCAAGTCACCCACTGAGCAGGGAGCTAGACTGGGGGCTGGATCCCTAGACCCCGGGATAAGGGTCTGAGCCCACGGCAGATGGTTATGACTGAGCCACCCAGGTGCCCCCTGTGTGCTAAGGTTTTATGCACATCAGATCCACTGGGTGACCCCAGAGGTAGGGCCCAAAGGACTGTCCCCACTTTGTAGAAATGGAGACTCAGATTCTCAGCACTGACGCATTTACAGTCTCCTGCTGGACAAACCCGAACTGAGCGCCTACTGTATACCAGGCCCAGCCCTAGGCTCTAGGCCTGAGAGGGTGGTTGTCAGTGAGGAGGGCGCCCTGACCTGGCCCCCAGGAGACCCCGCGTTTGGTCCCTCTGTCTGTGGGACAGCCCGGTGACAGCCTCATGGGTAGTGTACATGTTTTATAGATGGGCCCAGACCAAGCCCCGAGTGGCAGGCATGTGGCTCAGGGTCGGTCCCTCGGCTCAGTTCTGGGTCTCAGGACCCCCACCTTGGACTTGCTGTTTGCCCCGCAGCCAGCCCCACCCAGACGAGGGCCACCCGCCGCCCCTCGAAGCTGTCCCAGTCCCCTGGAAGAGCGTGGGCCCCTGCAGAAGCCACAGGGAGTCCCCAGGAGGCCTGGCGGAGAGCCCTGGAGGGGAGGAGGCCCAAGGTGAGGAGGGCCCCGCGGCCGCCCAGCTGGACGTGTTGCGCCTGCGAAGCTCTTCCATGGAGATCCGGGAGAAGGGCTCCGAGTTCCTGAAGGATGAGCTGCACAAAGCCCAGAAGGTGGGGCTCCGAGGGTGGCGGGGACAAGGGGCCCTCCTGGAGGGGGCCGTGGGCTCTCCCTGAGCACCCGCACGGAGGCCGTGCCGAGCATGAGGGCAGCACAGAGGAGAAACCAGTTCTGGTGACTTCTGAAGGATTTCCAGCCGTTGGACTGCTCTGATGGCCCGTTCTGAGCTCTCAGAGAGGCCGACGGTTGGGGTTTCGACATCACGCTGCAGCCAAGTGGGAAATGCATCCTAAGCTGTAGAGTGACAGGAAGGGAGGCTGGGGCTCCGAGGCCCGCGGAAGAGGACCCTGGCAGTGGAGCCCGATTGGGGGGCCTGGGTCCCCTCCCACCCCGCATGTCAGGCCGACAGCCGCCCTCCCTGGACCCCGCAGGAGCTGAAGCTGAAGGACGAGGAGTGCGAGCGGCTGTCCAAGGTGCGGGAGCAGCTGGAAGGGGAGCTGGAGGAGCTGACGGCCAGCCTGTTCGAGGTACTGCGGCCGGCCTGCCGGGGGCCGGGTGGGGAACGGGTCCGCCGGCCGCACGCTGGCCCCTCACCGCTCACGCACAGCCTGCCTTCTTCCCAGGAAGCCCATAAGATGGTGCGGGAAGCCAATATGAAGCAGGCGGCGTCAGAAAAGCAGCTGAAGGAGGCGCGGGGCAAGGTGAGGCCCGGCCAGCTCCCAGACAGGTGCATCTCACAGACCCCTGGCATATGGCGAGCTTCAGTTTCCCCATCTGTAAGATGGGTGTCTCAGTCCCCACCTCAAAGGCTGTTCCAGGGGTAATGGGGCAGGGGGCTTAGGTCCTAGTCACCACTGGGACAGGCCGTCCTGAGCCGGGGTGGCCGGCGGCTGGCAGCAGCGGTGACATTAGCCCTGGACTGGGCTTGACGGCCACCTCTTCCTGGCCAGATCGACATGCTACAGGCGGAGGTGACCGCCTTGAAGACGCTGGTCCTCACGTCCACACCAGCCTCCCCCAACCGCGAGCTCCACCCGCAGCTGCTCAGCCCCAGCAAGGCCGGACCCCGCAAGGGCCACTTACGTCATAAGAGCACCAGCAACACCCTCTGCCCTGCTGTGTGCCCCGCAGCTGGACACACTCTCATCCCGGACAAGGAGGGCAAAGAGGTGAGGGGTCACAGGCGGCCAGCAGACACAGGCGACAGGCGGTGTCCGGCATCAGCACGCCATGGGGGCCCATAGGGAGACCTGACGCCTTGCAGTGTGACCTGGAGCCTGTCCTGCCATCTCTGGGCCTCGGTGTCCTCTGTCTGGGAGGGCTGGGCAGCCTTTTTGTGATACAAGGTTTGGCCCTCAGGCTCTGGGTGCAGTGCGGGTACCCCTCACATCTCCCATGAGGGCCTGCTAGCCCGTCCACACCCCACCAAGCTGTAGGTGGTATTCTGGGCACCTGAGGCTGGCCTGGGGCCTGAGGGCCTTGCCTGGGCTGGGGGAAGATGGGGGAGTTCTTCGGGAAGACACCTTCCCTGGACCTAGGGAGGCCACTGCTGGGCCTCTGGGGACAGGCTGCTCGGGCCCTACATGTCCGCAGCCCTGAGGTCCAGTTTGTGACATCCCTTGACTCGAGGGTCCTCAGCACCTTCTGGCGAGGGTACCTAGACAGGCAGAGCCTTTGAGAGCTGTCCCTGCACCCCCCCCAGCCTCAGCTGGGGTCTTTGGTCCAGGCTGGGCAGTGGTGTCCTTGGCCATGGGTTCCTGGACACATGAAGGCCCCTGCCAGAGCCTCACCTTCCTCACATAAGTAGGGCCTCCTGGGGCCATGGGAACTGACAAGCCCAGGTGTCAGGAGCTCAGCTCCGGGCCGCACCCAGCATGCCTTACAAGGGCCACGTGGGACTCGGGGTCCTGTGGTCTCTGACACCAAGGCATCCCCCAGCTCCATCCTGCCCCGTCTCTGGGGTTTCCAGGGAGGGGATGCCAAGCAGGCCTTGCCCCCACTTCCGAGTTCTCAGCTTCTGACCGTAACACTAACATCTCCTTCCTCCCGTCTGTCTCTGTGCACCTGTCTGTCTGTCTGCCCCGCCCCTCCCAGCCCGGGCTGCCCCCACTCCTCTCCCTGCTCCTCTGCGTGGTCCCCAGCAAAGCTGTTCACCTCACCTACGAGCCGGCCTGGCAGCTCCTGCCTGGGGAGCCGCCTGCGGCCCCCACCTCCACTACCTCTCTCTCCTTTTCCCGACAGGTAATGGCTGGGGAGAGGGGCCGCCCCTCTGCCGCTACCACGCCCGGCCTCACTCACACCGCATGCGCCCAGGGTGACCAGTCCGTCGTCTCCACCCCCTCCCCCGCAGTTGGTGGCCCCATGTGTGTTCTCTCTGTGTGCATGTGTCTGTGTGCGGGGGGGACCTGCGGGGCCCATCTTCAGCTTTTCCTCCTCCAGGAGGCAGAGGGTCTTCGGGACGAGGCCCTGGACCCAAGTCTGTGACCCTGTAGAACCAGGAAGCTAAAAGCACACCTAGCTATGGAAGTTTGGGTTCTGAGCCCCTGGGGGCAAAGGGAAGGAGGCACTTCATCCTTAGAGCTCTGCTGCCCTGCTTGGGCCCCTGGGGACAGACCCACTGGCAGGCCTGCCCTTCAACCTTCCTGGTCCCCACCTCCTTCAGCTCCACCTGTCCCTGCCACGGGGGGGGGGGGGGCCCTCCAGCACCTTGACTGGCCCCCTCTGGCTCACCCTCCCCCACAGGTGGACACCACCCTGTTTGCAGAGTTCCAGGCCTGGCGGGAGTCACCCACCCTGGACAAGACCTGCCCCTTCCTCGAAAGGGTGTACCGGGAGGACGTGGGCCCCTGTCTGGACTTCACCATGCAGGAGGTGCGGTGGGGCGGAGGGCGGCCGGCCCCGGGGCCCAGCCCTGCAGCCCGAGGCCAGCCGCTCATGGCCTGGCCTGCCGCCCTGCTTTGTCGCAGCTCTCGGCGCTGGTCCGGGCCGCCGTGGAGGACAACACGCTCACCATTGAGCCCGTGGCTGTGCAGACACCGCCCACGGTGAAGGTGGCCACGGTTGAGTGTGGCAGCACCAAGTAAGCTTAGCGCCCTTCACCCTCTGCTGCCTGCTTGAGAAGGCCACGCCTAGCCTCGTGCTTTGCCCGGGGGTAACCAGGGACTGAGCCTCAGCCTGTCTCCAGGGGTCCTGGGGTGGGACCCAGGGCGGGAGTGTGGCGCTCAGGCCCGGCTGGGGAGGAGCGCAGAGGCACGCTGGCTGACCTCAGGCAGGGCAAGGAGGCAAGGTTGGCACAAATTCCTGCCTCTAGTCATAGATTCCCGTCCCCTACCTCCAGGCCCTCCCGGGAGTCTCCCTCTTCCTGGCTGGCCTGCCAGGCATCCCTCTCCCACCCCTACCCTCTCTCCCACAGTGGGTTCTGGGCCCCAACTGCCATGTAAATGATGTCAGCTCTTCACTCTCCTTGTGCTGATAAATAACCAGGCTGCCCTTGGCTTCTCGTCCTTCCTGCGGCTCAGCTGCCATCGAGCAGGGCTCGCAGCAGAACCAGATAGCCAGGGTAGAGCAGGGGGCAGAGGCGGGGAGCCCTTGACTTCAGCAGCCCAGGGTTCGACCTGCCAAGGAAGCCCCACAGGGTGAGCCTTGTCACACAGGGGTACCTTTAAGCCAGGTTTTGAAGGACGAACAGCCGTTTGCCAAGTAGGGAAGGGCCCTTCAGGCAGAGGGAATAAAGGAGCGAAGATACGAGAAGCCAGGGTGTTAATGGAAACATCACGGGGTTTCTGAGCAGAGTGATGGGGTGGGGAGGGAGATAGGGCTGAGACTGCAAAGTGTTCGAGGTCAGAGTGTAAAGGGTCTTGGATGAAGTTTGGGCTTTGACTCACTAGGCCAACATTTCATAGTCATCAATAGATGTTTCCTAAAAAGAGGGCTGCCAGGTCCAATCAGAGTCACAGTAAACATGGAGGCAACAAAGGCACTGATAAGTCCCGCAGCCCAGGTGCCTACTTGACCTTCCTCTGCTCCAGAGTCTCCATAATGGTTTCCTGGGCAGTAGGAAAGGAGTGGGGAAAGATGATGGGCTAGATGTGGGCTTTGGAGGAGACCCTGGCTGTAAGGTGGAGAAGGGGAGAGGGGAGGCAAGGGGCTGGTTGAAGGAGCTGAGGGGATTCAAGCCAAAAGCCCTGCTGGCACGACCTAGCCCGAGGACCTGGTGACCAAGTGGAGGAGACAGTGGACTCCTGTTTAGTTGGGGAGGATGGGACTGAGTCTGAGGGCCCCAGTAAAGTAGGGGGTGTTTTGAGGGGCTTTAGTGAGTGGAGCTTTGGTATACCTTACATGAAGTGCACTGAGCTCTCCTGCCCCCTAGGGGCAAGGTGAGGGGTTCAGGGGTGAGATCCAACATAGGTCAAAGATCTCTCCCAGGGACTTCTGAGGCTGCTGCCTCCTTCCCTGGCTCCTGGGAAAGCTGGGGTTCAGGGAGAGGATGCCAGGCCCTACCCACAGGTCCGTTTGCCTCTCCCTTTCTTGGTGCATCCTTCTGCCTGCCATCCTCCCTGCGTGAGCTGGGTGGGCGAGCCCCCACCAGCCACCACAGCCCCCTCTGCTTTCCCCTAGTACCTGTGCCCTGAGTGGTCTGGCTCGTGCCTGTCGCCACCGAATCCGGCTTGGGGACTCTGAGAGCCACTACTACATCTCGCCATCCTCCCGGGCCAGGGTGAGTCATCCAGTGGGAGGGTCTTGGGCTTCCTAGGGGCACCCTGGGCTGGGACTCAGGGCCCCAGGCCTAGGAGCCCAACCTTGATCTGCAGAACAGGGCACAGACTCAGAGAGGTGCAGAGACTGACTAAGGCCACACAGCCAAGACTGGTGAATTAGTTTGTCTTTACTACAGAACCAATTACCATAAACTTAGTGGCTTAAAATCACCTCCTTTTATTATTATGGTCTCCCTGGGGCAAGAGTCAGCACAGCTTAGCTGGGTGTCCAGCTCAGGGGCTGCAGTCAAGGAATAGGCTAGCGGCCTCCTTTCTGGAAATAGTGGTCCTCTTCTGAGGTCCCATGGCTGTTGGCAGGACCCAGTCCCTCAGGCTGGGGGCAGGGAGGACTGAGGTGCCTCTTTGCTTGCCGAAACCTAATCATGGGAGTGACATTAGGATTCAGGTTTAAATTCCAGGCTCCTACCTCCCAGCTCAGGCTCTGGCCCCAGACTTTTGAGAAGGTGCTGAGGTCTCTCTGTTACTCGAGCCTGCCCATAGTGGAGGGTGCCATGAGGCCTCCGGGAATCCCAGCTCCCATCCTCACCTGCCAAGTGGCCCAGCCTGGGTCAGGGGACCTCACCAAGCTGGGGGATAAAGGAGAGAACCATCTCTTGTCCTTGACCTATTAGAGGCTGTTCAAAGGGATCGAAGGGGGCAGATGGCCCCGTTGCTGGGCAGCTTGTCTGGGCCCAACGAACTTCCACAGGGTGCCCAGTGTGTCATCTGAGTGCATCCCACAGCAGCAAGCTGAGGTCCGTTTGCTGAGGGGAGTCTGTGCCGTAGAAAGGAGGGGCATGACCTGGACCTGGGGCATCCCCATTCTGAGCCCGGTCCGCCTTCCCTGCAGCCTCCGCCCTGCATCTCTGTGCCCAGAGCCCTTTCCAGTGGCCTTTTTTTGGATCCCCACCAGGACTCCATAGAAGGAGCCTCTCCAGCCATTCTGTGCCTGGCAAAACCATATCCATAGATGTAAAAACTAAAAAAGCACTATAGAACTTTGTTTCTTCCAGGCCTGTGTGTCTCTGCCTTGGGCAGAATTGGGATGGGAGATGAAACAGTGTGAAATCTTAGGAAGGAGTCCCCACCTCAGAGAGACCAAGGCATATGGCATCCATAGGGAAAAGAGGTTTCCATCCCCGAAGCATAGCCCTGGGGAGAGAACCCCACTGCTCCCGGCCCCTCCTTGCTCACCAGCCTGCGGTGGGGGCCCACTGGCTGCTGGGAAACTCCGTGGCCGGGCACACAGGCCTCTCCAGTACCAGTCTCTGCCCCACCTCCTCATAGCCCCTCCTGAGCCACATGGGCTAGGTCCCCTGACTGGGGCGCCCCTCTCTCACGCTGGCCTGGGCCACCAAGCTTCTCCACATGCTTTGTCCTCCTGGCAAGGATTTCTGTGTGTTTGAGGGTCCCCTCCCTGTAACTCTGGACCCCCCGGGCCCCCACACACTTGGCGTCCCTCCCCTGGAACCGTGGGCATTGAGTAGGTACAGTTTTGGCCACAGCTGCTGGCCACCTTCTGTCCTGTCTCCAGTTGGGTTACCTAAAAGCTGAGCCTGAGATGAGGATTTTACACCATTCTTAGGAGGAGTGAGGGAAGTAGAATGCGGGGATGAGGAAGTGGAAGAGGGCATAGCCTCGGCTGGAGTCTGGCTGCAGCCTGATCCTTGGGACCTCTGCAGCCCAGGGGGAGTTCTGCCCGGAGGCAAGGGAGCTGGCCTTTTTTACACCAGTCATTGCCTGTGGTTTGCCAGGTTAGGGGGTACAGAGGGGCACCCATGAGCTCTTAGTGGCCGACACTCTCAGCCGTGGGGAGAAGGGTGCCAGCAGCACCCTTTCTTGCAGTAGGAGAGTCTTTGTGGAAGGGCCCTCATCTGAGCCAACTTAGGGTCTGCGGTGCCTAGTACAGGGTGTGGCATGGAGCAGGCCTCAGGCCAGGTGAGGGGCTTCAGGCCTGGGGATGCAGGGCAGCCCCGTGAGCAGCTTCTGATCCCCCTGCCTATCCTGGCATTACCAGGACCACCAGGCCAAGGCCTCACGGCCAGGTCCTTGAGCCCCTGGGGCAGGCAGGTCCCTCAGGATGAGCGTGAATTCTACCACAGGCCTCCTGGTTTCACCTTCCAGTTCAGCCACTTACTGTCTTCGTGGCCTCTATAATTGTGGTCCAGTAGCTTTGTTCTTAGTCTCTCTGTTTTCCCCGTGTGTAAAATGGGGACGATAAGCATGTCTGCCTCACGGGATGCTTGTGCTAGGTGAAATGTTAGTTGCTGCTTGTTTTTTTTTTTTTTTTAATTGGGAGGAGTACTAATACCGCTGTTTGTAATTAAATTTTATTTATGTATTTTTTAAAAGACTTGATTGACTTACTTGAAAGAGGGAGAGAGAGAAAGAGTACAGGAGCGGGGGGAGGGGCAGACGGAAGGGAAGAAGCAGACTCTCCCGCTGAGCAGGGAGCCCGATTCGGGGCTCGATCCTGGGACCCCAAGGCTATGAGTGAGCTGAAGGCAGACACTTAACCAACCGAGCCACCCAGGCACCCGAGTAGTAAAATTTTAGAGCCCAGCCCTGTTCAGCTCAGAGAGCATTATCTGGCTCTGATGGGATGTGGGGTTTCCCGCTCTGGTCTCTGGTCTGCCCTGGCTTTGGGGGGGGGACCCCTTTTGTGAAGGCTGGCGGGTCACAGCCTCCCTGCTTCTGCCCCCAGATCACCGCGGTGTGCAACTTCTTCACTTATATCCGCTATATCCAGCAAGGCCTGGTGCGGCAGGAAGGTGAGCGCCCCCTGGTGGCCGGCGGTGCTGGCCCATGGGAGGGAGCGGGCGGGCCTGCAGCGGTGTTGGGGGTGGACCTAGGTGCTTTGTGGCCCAGACAGAGGACAGAGGGGAGGACTCTGCCAGCCTCTGCCAGGTCCCGCTGCCTTCTCCCACCCAGAAACTTCTCCCAGGCCCCGGGGCTCGAGGGGACTGCTCCCTGTTACCGGCCTGGCATTGGAAGCCCTCCACGATGGGGTGGGTGTCCCTTGTAGATCTCCTCCTCCCCACTGGGGGTACACCTCATAGTCATTTGACACCAGCTGCTGTGTCCCACTTCACCCTTGCCCGCCCGGCAGGTCCTCCATCCACCTGTTGTCCCCTCTGCCCCTGTTCTGCAAGGCCTAGCATCCTGCTTCTCCACCAGACTTGCCCATTTGGAGTCTGAGCCTCTCTTCCCCAGCTCAGGTGTCAAGGCCTTGGAGGGGACCTCGGACTGACCCCTGGCTCTGCTGATCACTCAGGGTCTCCGAGCCCCTAGGGAGACAGGGTTGGGAAGCGTATGGAGCCCAGCAAATGCATGGCGGTGTGTTTGTGCACGTTGGTGTCGGGCCATGGCCATGGCCCCCAGCGTGGCGGGGTAGGGTGTGTTCAGCACTCAAGTGCGCAAGGCTTCCGTGTGGAGCCTTAGAGAGGTCAGGGCACCACTGAGGTCATCTCTGCTGGGGGACTGGGGAGCCCTGGGTGCCTGCCAGCTGCCCTGCCCAAAGCCAGGGGAGAGGGGCCAGGCCATCTGCTCGAGGGGACCCTGTCCCTGAGCTGTCCATCTTCTTTCCACCTGCAGCCGAGCCGATGTTTTGGGAGATCATGAGGCTGCGGAAGGAGATGTCGCTGGCCAAGCTCGGCTTCTTCCCCCAGGAGGCCTAGGGCATGGTCCGGGGCCTAGAGGGGGGCTCTGAGCAGCAGCCGACACCTGCCTGGGAAGACAGGGTGCTGGAGCCGGCCCTGAGCCAGAAGCTGAACCAGACGGACGAATGGCCAGGCCGTGGACGCCTTGCTGAGCTAGTCCCAGACCTTCATCCCGGGACAGACAGGAGCTCGTGAGCGGACCCTTGTCTTCACAGACACCAGGAGACTTTCAAGAAAGCACCAAAGACCAAGGAGCTTGGACCTATACTTGGGCTCAGCCCTTGGGCGGAGGCGTCTGGGGCAGGTCTGGGAGCTGCTGCTTGCAGGTGCCTTGTTGCTGCCACGTCCTCAGAACGGGGCCTGACACCCACCTGGGCGGCCTGACCTCCAGGGTATTCCTGCCCACCCCCCCCCCCCCACCACCCTGCAACCCGCCTCTGGTCCCAATCCCTGGGCCACCAGCACCCCCTGGTGGCCACCCCTCACCTATTCCCGGGCATCCTCCCTGGACTGGCCCCAGAGGGCCCTCTGCCTCCAGCATCTGTGGGGGTGGTGGGGCCCCAAGGGGCTGTCAGGGACTTGCACACCAACCTGTATCTGCTTGAGAACTGTCCCCAAACTGTTCTTAAGATGGATCAGGGTCCCTCCTCCTTGCACTTGACCTCCCCCCCCTCATCTGAGCCCCCTGCTCCAGGAGGCCCTGCCCCCACCACCACTGGAAGCATTAGGATACTTTTCTCCCAAAGTAAAACACAGACAGAGCCTCAGGATACCCGTTTCTGTGTTCGGCCGTGGGTGGCCATCTAGATGACGGGGGCCGCGGCCACCAAGCCCTGCACACAGGACCAGGGTAGGGTGGGCAGGACCCAGGCCCCCTTCCTCACCCTTCAAAGCCCACTGGGGACCGGGATCCAACCTGGACACATCCCTCACCACAGCTGATTTCCTCCTTTGAATGGAATGTAACACGATCTCTATTTAATAAAGGAAGGCTTTGTTGGTCGAGGCTGGGCAGCCACGCGCCTTCACTCCTGCGCCCTGGGGTTCGGGCCAAGGCTTGGGCAGCTGAAGGAATGAAACCAAATCCTTCCCCAGCCAGCCCTCGTGCTTGGGATTAGGCCCAAATCCTGCAGGGATTGCTGTGGGGAGCACCCCTCGAGGCCTCTCTGGCGGTCCTCGGGGATGTGGGTTAGCAGGGCCGAGCCTGGCTTCCTCTCCCCTGCGGAGGGGCCCACTGAGGGGGGAGCAGCGGTGCTGAGCCTGCCTCTCACACTGTCTTGGGGGCACCTTGGGCAGATCCCCTTCTGGTCTCCCTGTGTCCGTCTAACGGGAGGTTGGATTTCAGAGTCAAAACCAGGAGGCCGCCTGGCGAGTGCTGGACAGTGGCAGGATTTGTTGGCGATGTCTGCCAGCGGCACGGGCAGGGACAGATGTGGTGGCTCTGGCCTTCCCAGGCCTGCTTACCGACAGATTCTTAGTAAGGGCCAGGAGTCCCGTGGTGGACCTGGGGTGGTATCTTGTGATGCCAGATCCCTTCCCCACCTGTAGGGCTGTGGGTCAAAGCCCATAGGGGTCTCGGGAAGGAGGGGAGCATAGCAACTTCTGAGTCAATGTGTCCTGGGGCTGGTAAGGGGGTCCCTACTGGCCTGAGGCCTCAGGCTGACTGTGGACCCGCCAGGCCTCTGTCAAGGCCACCCAACCCTATCCTCTCTCCAGCCAGAGGCCTTTTTGCTCTTGGTCTAGTGCCTCACAGATTTCTCCCTCTCTTCCCTCACTGCCTCTCCTCCCCCTCCCCCTCCCATCCTTGACTTAAATTCCCTCCCTCTCCCGCCTCTCAGATACCCACGGGTCAGGTCTCTGACGGACGTCCACCCTCATCCCCTGGGTGCTGTGTGGAGCACAGAAATCAGTGAGGGGGGTCAGGGGAGGACATGTGTAGCCACGTTACACAGGGTTACCCCAACATCCTCTCCTACATACCTGCCTCTTTCTGCCCTTCCCTTTGTCAGTCCTGGGTCAGCTGGGGGAGAAAGAGCATGAAGGCCTGGGCCTCGAAGCTTCCCTGCCTCTGGATGAGCCACCTCCAGGGCTGAGGAGACAGCAGGCCATGTTTCAGGAGCCAGGACAGAGCGTCCCACAGCCCAGACTTGTTCGTGCTGCCCCCGGGAAAGGATTGCTTGTCAGGCCTGTGGGGCTATGGTGGGCACACAACAGTGGAGATACTCTGGTGAGGTGTTTGTCAGGGACCCAGGGACACACGATCTGGCTTCAGGACCTCCTAAAGGTGGCTGATATCTGAGCACCGCCATTGGCCCCAGGGCCTTTAAACAAGCCATGCCCTTGAAGCGAACCAATGCACTTAAACCTCAGAGCCATTCTGTTTCCCCATTGTGCAGCTCTATGCCCCGAGGCACTGAGAGGTCACATGGGCTAGGATGGGAATGCAGGATCCCAGCTCCAGAGCTGGCATCTAGGACCCCTTCTACTGAACACCGGCCTTGGGCCTGACATGGAATTAGGCCCTTCCCTGTTTTTCAGAGATGTAGAAACCGAGTGTCAGGCGGAGGCCGAGCTGGATTTTCCTTACGTCTGTTGCCCACATTTTTACCCACTTACATCTGCCCTCACCGCCATTCTTCAGGCTTCTGGGGGTAACAGGCTGGGGGGGCTCTCTGGAGGGAGGGGCTCAGGGCTTTGGCTCTTGGAGTTGGGAGAGCAGGGTTAACTGACATCAGCAAGACAGGGGTTGGTCCTCTTAAGTGAATTTTCTAGATGACTAAGTGCTGCGGGCATATGTGGTCACCTCTTAAAGGCTGGCAACAACCACGGCCATGAGTCCAAGCCCTCAAGGGGGCTTTCCACTGTGCCCTGCCATGTCGTGTTTTCCCATCTGCAAAGTGCATTCTGATGGGATGTTGCTGGGACTGGGTACCTGGGCAACAGCTAGGCTCCTGTCGGGGCCTCAGTTTGCCCCTCTGTGAGTTGGGAAGATTAGACCACATGCCCTTTGCAGCCCCTCCCCCATCCCTTTTCCATTTATCTTATTGGGGTAAAAAGCACAATTTAGCCTCTGAACTTCCTGCCATGGTCTGTATGAGCCACGCTTTCTTTACCCACCCATCCCCTGCTGGACACGCGTGCTGCTTCCACCTGTGGCCTAGTGTGGACAATGCCACGACGGACACGGGAGTGCGGTGATTTCTTCGAGGCCCTGCTCTCAATCCCTTCGGATATTCACTGAGAGGTGGGTTTGCCGGGTGACAGGCCACCATTCTGTCTTCAGTTGTCTGAGGAAAACTCCAGACCGTCTTCCGTGGAGGGTGTGCCATCTTACGGTCTTGCCAGCAGCACACTCTGGTTCCGGTTTCACCACATCCTCGCCCACACGTGTCACATGGGTGTTTCTGGATCACTGCCATCCTAATGGCCGTGGGGTGATTGCTCACCGTGGTTTCGAGGTGCATTTTTCCAATGCCTAATGCCCTCGAGCATCCTTTCATTTGCTTCTTGGCCACTTCCAAGCAGCTGCCTTGTACCAAGGGGCACTTCAGGGAGCCCCGCCATGCGCCGCAGTGATGCCTCTGGGGAGAGACTGTCGTGGCTGGTCAGGCCACTGCTCTTCTGTCATTCTGTGGCCCTGGGCCCCCTCACACGGTGAAGAGCTGTGTCCAGGGCCTAATAACCAAGCCCATCGTGTGGTGAGCTTTAACTCAAAGCCAAGTCATAAAACTCGCAGAACCCAGGCCTGGGCTTTAGGGCTGCTCTTTCTGGTAGGCCCAGAAACTTCCCCTCAACCTTCCCCAAACTGGGCTATTTCTTGCTGCACCTCTGCCTCTTGCCCAAGCCTTGCTGGCCTGCACAAGCATCACTCGGCTCCACGACCTTGGCTAGTGGTTCCGCGGGGGGTGGAGACTTGAGTGGGTCCCACGAGAGGCCTGCGTGTCAGCTCACAGTCCCGGGAGAAGCTCTGGGCCAGGGGCCAGATGTGGATTGGAGGGGCTCAACCCCAAGCAGGCACCCTCCCCGCAAAATGCTCCAGCTGCCCAGACCACCCTCTCCTGCCTTTTGGTTAGCTCTTCCCTCCCCCTGCCTAAGGCTGAAGCCTGGCGGGGACCCAATGGCAGCTCAGGAATGTCAAGTGGAGCCTCTCCCTTTCCAAGTGGTCCCAGTGCCCTGACAGGGAGGGGGCGGGGAGGGGGATAATAGAGTCTCAGGTTCTCCCCGGGCCCCTGATTTTAGGAGAGTTGCAAGGTCCACTGGGTTGAAGCCTGGAGGGGTAAAGCCACCTATGGAAGGCCCCGAGGCCTGCAGAGAAATCTTGTGAGCAGCTGTTGGTTTCACTCCAGGAAAGAGACACACAGTTCAGGCCTTACAGGAACATAACAACAGCCGGCAGGAGAACTCAGCCATCGCTCTCTCCTTGCCAGGGTTGAGTGCCTGGAGGCATGGCTCTGTGGCCCCAAGCCCTATCCTTGCTTTACCTCCTGGGGGGCCCTGTGCAGGCCTTCATCAGCTGGGGCAGGTGGAGGTTCCGACCCACTCCACTCCCCCAGCTGCTTTGCATGTGGTTGAGAACCAGGTCGGGACCCAGGAAGGTGGCAGGGGTGAGCATCTGAACACTGAGGGCTACTGAAGCTGGGGTGGAGGCCACGCCCATTGTGCAGGGGCTGGAGATTGGGGCAGGAGTTTCAGTTCCGGTAAGAGCCTACCCTCTCTACCTTTGTGCTCACCTGTGGACATGGTGGCAGCTGGGGTATCTGCAGTCACCGCCCACCTCAGCCACCAGCCACACACACCTGTACTGCTCCCCTCCAACATGCTCAGGGAGGGGGTTCAAGGGCACCTCAGTGATCAGGCAGCCCAGGGCCATGGTGACAGCAAGGCCTTACCGGTTGTCCTGGCAACCGAATAGAAGTCTCTTGGTACCAAGGAGAATCCAGAGGCCACTTCAACCTTTCTTGGCACCCCAGCCCTCCTGCCCCACAAACACTGGCTTTAATGATTTCCTACAAATTGTTAAACCAAGATAAAAGGTTAGCACATCAGAGAAACATACTTAGTGTTCTCCAAGTGCATTCCCAGAACCAGCCCAGCGGCAATCTCCCCTGCAAACCTGTTCAAAGCACAGTTCTCCGCCCCCAAACCAGCCCAGCTGAATACCACCCTGGGGGTGAGGGCAGCGCTCCTGACTCAACAGGCTGCCCAGCCGTGCTGTTGGGCTCACCTGCAGCCCCGCAGCAGAACCTTGGCCTGACTGCACTCCACATCATTTGTGAGCGCTACGCTTCTAGGAACAGGTGTCTTTATCTCAAAAACACACAAAAAGTAGTTTGGGGAGCACCTTATACTCTCAGAAGGACTTGAATTTATTTAGGTAAAAGTGGGGGAGGGTGCTGTACCAGGCAAGCCACC